AAGCTGTAGTATGGCATCAAGTTAAAGTATATAGATATCAAATATCACTAGATTCGAAATATAATCGAAGAAAAGCAATTGCAGTTTCAGAAAATTCATATAGATGATAACGGAACAAACATATTGACAAATATTTTACCAAAAGAAAGACAGGAGATATGCCGACAGTTGATCGTCATGACTTCACATTGAGGAGTCATGAGACAACCTCCCTTATGGGCTGAAAGAGGAGGTTGTTGGGTTGATAGCCCACTAGGTTCAGTCCATAGTGGGCTTTAACAGCCCACAGCCTACCCTCTTTCAAGTGAAACCTTAGATCTAATAGGGAGTGTGGTGGCATGAAAAAAAGAGAAAAATTGTAGCAACGAGGCAGATTTTTACAGTAGCTAATTGATTTCAAAATAGCAGGAGAAAAGGGCAGAAAAACAAGAGAAAGAAAGTGAAGAAGACAAGCACAACACAGAAAAAATGTTCTCAATCATCCAGCAATGTTCTCATCTCAAGTGTGATCAGATTTACAATTGATATTTGCTATGATTGCTTGGGGAGAATTTAGATATTGTGCACAGTGACATAATTCTTGTATCCCAGTTATTCTCTTGAGATTGTTGCTAGGGTTATGGGCAAAAGACTGAGATTCATATATTCATTATTATTATAGTGGATTATCTCTAGTTTACCCCATGGTTTTTACCCTTCACGTTGGAGGGGTTTTCCACGTAAATCTTTGTGTTCTATTTGATTGTGATTCAATTTAATTTCACTGCATGTTATGACTTGCTAGTATTTATTCATATACAAAAGTTTATTTCTCTTTATATATCATCATCTTCCTATATGTACAGTTTGGATAGGAGAGCTAAAGGGACCCAACTAATCAACTCCAAGAGTCGTATTCAATTAACCTACGCTTTAAAATTATTTAAATTTGTAACATCAAGTGGATCCGGTCGAAACTCACAAATGCAAATGTAATGTTGAGATCATGTAGAGAATTAAAACGGTCCTGATTACAACTCATAGAGAAAAAAAAATCAATCATCCTAACTTATCCAAAATGTAGCTTGAATATATATGTTTCTGAATTATAATCATCCCCAACTTAACTAAGAAGTATCTTGATATCTGATGTACGCATCTACAAAACCCAACCTCACCATCCCTACACTCTATTTAGCATAGCAGCTTCAAGAGCCTTTCTTAAGTTGGCAAGACTGAAAAGAGTGAAAATTGCAAATAGCTAATATAATTTTGTAACACATACCAGCAACTTGCAAATTGCTTTGAACTACTATTAAGCAAGGATTTCTGTTTTCCATAGATAATACTGGCTTGAGCTTCCCAGGGCTAGTACAATACACGTTCATTTACAAAGGCTTACATATATTTCAGAATAAAGGATTCATAGAAGAAGCAAGCATCGTCGTACAATCAAAGTGGAATAGGATGTACAAGTAACAAAGAGATATATTCCTTCGTCTTCGTAGAGGAGTTGGTGTTTCCATCGATGTGTTTATATATATTTTCTGCCATTCGCGCATAATTAGTAATCCTTTCAAGTAAAGCAACAGGGAATGCAGTTTGATTGAGGCACTCTTCGTTTATATCCTTCCATGCAACGTCAACTTGAACTTGGAGCTTCTTACATGCCACATGCACATTTGTTCCGTATTCTTTCATGTAGCATTGGACTGTGGAGGCAACATGTTCCCTAGTTTGTTCCAACTGTAAATTTCATGAAAAAAGAGGATTAATGATCTACAAACTAAATTCTAACGGATCCTTTCAGGATTTACATGTTCATTATATTAAAACAAATTGATAGACTATTATCAATAATAAGGTGTAGATGAAAGGAATTTGGGAATCTACAGATGTGGAAGCTTACAAACAGGAGTTTTTTTGTTTGTACTAGATTTCTTAATATAAAATCATTTAAGGAGTTCAGCAAAAATTTGATAACACAATTGAGTGACACAAGAAATGCTTTTGAGGTGATAAATACAAGGAATATTGAAGACAACCTTTGGAGATTACCTATTAAACCTCAATTATGGTCCATCTCATCTAATTGGAGAATGTATGTTATTTTCTTTTTCTTTTTTTTGTGTTATCATATTTCTACTACGACAAAAATCAATGCAAAATTTACTATGAAAAATGTTTATATGATATAAAACACAGAAGATTATATTATGACCATACCTCGTGTGAAGTAATGTCATTCATGATACGAGCAATTATTGCAGAAGCTTGGACAATCTTTGGGAAACTAGTAATCCACTCAAATGCCTCCTTAGTTGCTATTTCTCCCATTCCAACGAAAGAAGCACATTTGAGCATAGGATATCCTGAACTGATGAGGGAAACATGTAGATGTTCTTCCAAAGTTGGTACGTAATGTTGATCTCTCCATTTGGATTCCTCAAAATAAGCTTCAGATAAATCTTTCATCTGTACCCAAGTAAAACAAAACCATTCCTTAATATTTGTAATGCATGAGTAGCGTCTACAAATGGGACAATCTAAGTTCAATACTGTCGCATCTGAAATGCTTATTCTTTGTATTGTATTGGCCAATAGTGGATTCATTTATTGCTTATGTAATGCTAATTAATAAAAGTGAAAATAAGAAGAACCTTATAATCTCATCACTCACCGCTTCCTTCAGATAGGTTATGCGATATTTTTCACCGGAAGCCAATAAATCTTCAAACTCTTCAAAGGTGTGGATTAGCTTTAGATAATAATCCTTCATATACTCTGGTAATTGATGAACAACCTTCGCATCCCACCTGCATATTTATTAGTTTCACCATCTTTAGAAAAATAAAACATAAACATACATGTTATTTTGCTATACACAATGACTCAAACTATTATGTGATATTATCAGTGGCACCATTTGTTATCATCTATTAAGCCATGATAGTAAAAGGTAATCTATCCATCGATATAAGATTTACGGACCTTTGAATTGCCTCAGTTAGTCGTTGACTCTCCTCCAATGTGCTATAGACATCATATATGTCGTCCAAAATTGAAATATGGGCAATCACCTTGGTCGTTATCACTCGTGCACGAGAATAATAGGGTTCAAAGTATATTGCCAGGATCCAGAAATAGCATTCCACCAATCGATCTCGAGCAAAACTGAG